TACAAGTATACAAATATTCTTCCATAAATGCTTTAGTTGGTCAAGAAATACTAATCCCCATTTTTGTCACTACTATACATTAAAAAATAAATTATGATTAAAAGTATAACAGGTAAACATATACAGCCAACAAGAGGTAGGTAGGTAGTTACTAGCTTTTAAAAAAGTTGAGAATCCCACAGGATTATGTAGCAAATTGGAGTTTGGTATTTCATTCCAACACCTTGCCCCATTCCAATGGTTTGGATTCCAAGAGGCCAAGGGGCCTGAAACTATTGGCTCCCTCATGAGGGCTGCTGAATTCACACACACCCCCACCCCCACAGCAGTGAATCCAGTATCCAGTTTTAAGTAAAATGGAACAGTCAGAGGGAACAGTAAGAGGAAACAGGATTCCGGGTTGGAGATAACTATGTGATAAGCATGCATCTGATATCATGGCTACTCTTCATTCCTGAGCCACTGGAGGTGGGATATCACAAACTGGATTTTACTAAATTAACAACAGTGCCGAACCTTCCTCCTCTATCGCAAAGCTAACTCCAGATAGCAGGCACTTTACGCAGAGAGCCTTCTTAAAGGTGAGTCCTACTGACTTTCACTAGGTAAAGCCTAACTCATTTCGGTAGGCTTCATCACCCAGGATTAAGCCGTTTACTAACATCCCCCCCTTAGATCACAGACCCTCAGTGGATCAGGATCCAGAGACAATCGTTATACCCCAGGTCAGTAAGGCACTTGGGGTAGTCATTCTACCTGTGGCTCCCATCCCCTTCCCCCTCCCCTGGCCACCTACCCACCCTTGTTTCAGGCCCACAGTGCTCCTTGTGCTTTCTCACTCACTTCACTCATTCCCCCACTGCTCTTCCTTCCTGCCTTTCCCACAAGGACCTCTGGAGACCGACACATACTCAAATGATTCACCTTTACATATTCAACCTCATCACCTACCACCTCTTTCAAACACTGAGCTAAAACTGGGTTTTGAAAAGAACACTGTGAAGGGTAAGGCAGCGGGACCTGCATTCTCCCACATTCTCTCTGACACTTCCACACCCTAATTCACAAGCAGTTCTCTTCCTTCTCTGGGCATCCCATCTGATGGATTGCCCTTTTCTCTTTATCATTCCTATCTCACTCTATTTTTTCTAGGCCAGGTCCAGACTCGATTCCTTAAATACATACACTACCTGTTCACTCACACTCCGCTTGCTATGCTAGGCCCAGTGTCAAAATCTTGAGTGTCTCCCAAAACTGCAATCTGCCTTGCGTGTTACTTTCTTCCCCCTACTTCACCACCCTCAAATTCCTAATCCTGGGCCAATTCGTTCACCTGAAAAAGACAAAAATCACACATGTGGCTTGGTCCTGTTATAATATTACAGTTCTTAAAGGCCAGCCTTGTAGCACAGCACTTAAGCAGTACACAGCGAGAGCCAGGTCCCACTTGGCTGATCATGGTTCAGGACGTGCTGGGCATGTGCACTCATGGATGCCCAGCAAAATGGATAAATGGAGAAGAAAAGAACTGCAGCATGACTGGGACCCATTGGGGGATACTTGTGCATGCATGTGCCTCTGACATTAAAGAAAAAAAATTATGGTCTTCAAATTCAGCTAGACACTGAAGCAAAGCTACTGCATGTTGTTAATCAGGTGTTTCCCCATAAATGGCACTGCCTTTCCTTCCAAACTTCTGCCACTCTACCTCTTCCAGGCTTACTGGTATGAGAGGGACAGGAATTTTTCCATGTTTTCCTCAACCATTTTTATAGGTTGTTTAATAAAAATATTTCTTTCATTTATTTTTCATATTATCTCAGACTTAATGATGGTCCTCAGTACAGAAGTTTTTACTTTCAGGTAGTTAGATCTGTCCAACATTGCCTTTTGCCTTTCTTTTATTATTTCTCTGCTTTGAAATTTCTCCTTGGAGCCAGCAGGTGGCATGGTGGTTAAGGCGCTGGACACTCCATGTGGTTGACCACAATTTGAGTCCCGGACCTGGTGGTTTGTTTTCTCACTTTCCTTCTCTTTCTCTGTGTGTCTCTCTCCGGTCAAATTAAAATAAATGAATGAATAAATAAAATTAAAATTAGTAGTTCTTAAAAAAAAGGAAAAAATTTCTCCCCATTCAATAATAACAGATTAAAAACTCTGATTTTCACTTTTCGATAGACTAATTTTTTGACTACTTCATTCCCTATTATATATGGAATGAGATTTGGATCGAAACTGAGTTGTACAAGGTCTTCAAAAAGTTCATAAAAATATGAATTATGGACACCAGCAGTTAGCATAATGGCTAAGTTGCTGGACTCCCACATAGTCAACCGTGGTTCGAGTCCCGGACCCGGTGGCTTAAACTCACTCCAGGTACATGTACGTGCATGCCCAAGATCCCAAGAAGAGAATGGAGGAGATCTCTCTCTCAAAAAAAAAAATATATATATATAATATATATATATGTATTATGAAAAAAATTGTGTATGGATTTCAAAAACTTTTGCACTAAAATATACTCCTACTTTAATCCATTTCCCACCAACTTTCTGAAGTCCTCTCATATTTAAAATGACTAAGTAATTCTCACCATCCCTTGTTTTACAAAGTTACTTCTTATATATTCCATTTATTTGCCTACAGTAAGATTGGGCTCTGGGATACAATACATTTTAAGTAATGTAATTATTTTTTCTTTGTATGTGTTCATTTGTGATGAGAATAGTCCGCGGTATTTTCATCTAATAATAGCTGAATACACTATATTCGTTTCCAAGGATACTCCTCTAATGATTTTATGAGTAAGAAATGGTTTCCCTGCCCACACTACATGTTTGTTACAGCTGATGCCTGCACACAATGCTCCTGTCTACTCTGAGTGCCCTGGTGCCCTACCACTGGGTCTAGATCCAAAACCTTTCTAAGAAAGCTACCCTTCCTAAACAGTATACATTTCTCTAACCAGAACGAGATTCATAAAACCTTTTCTTTTACTATTCTGCACGCTTAGAATTCACTTTCTCATTGGTGAAATCTAGTTTACACAAAATAAAGGTACTTCACACTATTTTTATTTCATAGGCCAACGTTTATCAGCTCTGAAATATTTTCCCACTGTTCCTGTTATCTTCATAATTATGTTTTTGTGTTTTAATTTTTTAAGACATACTACATTCACAATTCAAAAATCCTTTCCATAACATAAAAAGGGAACTTATATTTGAAGAGTCTCATTCCTACATTATCCACATGTAGCCCACTTTGTTCTTGCTTATCAATTATTTTTATTAGTTCCTTATATACCCTTCCAATATTCTTTATACAAATACATGTAACTGCAAATATAGTCTTTTTTCCTCCTGCCTTCTCAGATAAAATATCCAGGTTTGCACTTTACTTTCTTTCACCCAGAATATCCTGGATATTTTTCCACGTTAGAATATGTTTTGTCATCATTTTCTTATAGCTCTATGATATTTCTCTGCGTAAGACAAACTATTGGGTCATGGAAAAGTCATGATGCATTTTCCACTTAGAACACAGAAAGCAACAACTATTCCCACCCTAATGCAAAAATAGCCACAGCTATTCCCACTCTAATGATTTTTCGGACGACCCAATAGTTTAATACTGTATTTTTCAAATATCAGACTTTATTTATTCATTTATCTATTTTTGAGAGAGAATTTGCTACAGGGTATATGTGCTCGCCAGACAGAGAGACAAAGAGAAAGAAAGTGAAAAATCACACACACTCCCTTGGTGGTGTGATAGCCATGCCATGATCCTTTTTTCTTCATTTTCCTCTCAGGATTTTGGGCATGCACGCACATGCACCCAGTGTGAGTTTTAAGATGCCAGGTCCGGGACTCAAACCGTAATCAGTCACGTGGGAATTCAGTGAAATAATCATTATGCCATCTGCTGGTCCCAGACTTTTATTAATTTGAGTCTCTTTTCTGTTCTTTCTTTCTTTTTTTTGGGAGAGGTTTTTGCTATAGGGCACATGTGTTCACCAGAAAGACAGAGAGAGACAGAGAGACAAAAAAGTGAGAAATCACCCCCTAAGGGGGATGGCCATACCACAATCCCTTCTTCTCCATTCTTCTGTCGTGATCTTGGGCATGCATGAACATGCACCCAGTGTGAGTTTAAGCCACCGGGTCCAAGACTTGAACTGCGATCGACTACGTGGGAGTTCAGCAACATAACCATTACGGCAACTGCTAGTCCCAATTTAAGTCTCTTTTCTGAAAATAGCTTAAGAGAAACAACTGTACAAACCAAATAGCACAGAAACCTGTAGGGTATGATTTCAAAATCTGTATTCTATGAGTAAATATGAATTTCCTAGTATCTCACTTTATCACTTATCTCAAGTTTACACTATGATCTTATCTAAAATTTACCAATCACTCTAGTCATGAACTCTGACAATAGAAGGACAGTTCTCAGGGTGATAGGCCTCAAAACCTGAAAGCTACCCAACTTTACTGAGGGTTTCAATGGGCCTGCAGAAAATGACGTATGTTGTACAAGAGACACAAGTCAAGAAATGTTCCATTGTACTCAGTAGAACCTGGACAGGCTTCACTGAAGAAGTAACCTCTGTCTCAATCCGAAGTAATGACATACTTAAAAGGCAGATGAGAGAAAAGGGAAAAGATCAAAGGAGGAAGAGTATAAACAGAAGTTTGAAATAAAATACCCAATTAAGAACTCTAAATACTTCCATCTCCGCTTAGAATGCAGAAAGCCACAACTATTCCCCCCAATG